TTGTCTTTACCTTACAACTTTGCATCTTTTATTTCTAATAATATGTTTATCTTTAGGTTTCAAGACAAAGACAGCATTCAACACAGCGTGACATACTGTATGTTCAGCAGGTCTTTGTGAATGTTTCAAGGCTCCGGTGACTGTTTGAGAGGGAGATGGAGGGGAAGGTTTTTGTCAAAACGTATGTGTTGAGCTCGAGTGCGCAGTTCGAGACAACTCTTAAAAATAGATTATTTATGAATAATCTATTTTATTTGTGTGAGCTTATGTGCTTTTTAAATGACATTAACTGTCTATCATAGACAAACTGTCAAAGTTTAATTGTAAAATTGTTAATGAGCGTAGATGAAAACCTCAGATCCATATGAAGCCTTCTATTGGCTAGTGACACTAGAACATTCTCATTTGCTGATGCATAAACTCTACAAGCCCAGAGGAGAATCAAAGGTAATCAATTAAGCTGAAAGGGGAGGAGCCACCTAAATTCAAAGCTGCACTTAATGGCAAAGCCTAGCACTGGTGGGTATTGTGTCAATGTTTGTCAGGATGGATCTTTTCCAAGGTGTGTTAGTGTTGGTTGTGATTGTGGCATTTGACTTGAGGAGTGCATGGGGAAGTTTGAGACACAGTCAAAGTCCAAGCAGCATGAAGCCGCAATCAGGTCCAGCTTCCAGAGTTCCTGCTGTTTCTTCTCAAGGGGTCTTGAATCCTTTGCAAAAGGCTTCTCAGTTTCAGAGTCTGGACTCCAGAAGATTTGCACAAGAGCCTTTTGGTTTTCAGGAGAAGCAGCTGTTGCAGGGTCCAGTCAAGCCTTTGGATTGGAGCTTTCCCATCGTACCAGAGTTGCAGGGTCCAGTCAAGCCTTTGGACTGGAGGTTTCCCATCGTTCCAGAGGTGCAAAGTGAGTTGGCAGTGGACTTCCAGTTGAGGCAACCCGTGACTCCCAGTAGTGTGGCTGTTCAATGCGGTGAGAACCGGGTTCTTGTGGAGGTAAAGAAGGATTTGTTTAGCAATGGCCAACTGATCCAGCCATCTGGTTTGTCTATGGGAGGCTGTCCTGTTGTTGGTGAGGACTCTGCCTCTAGGGTGCTCATCTTTGAATATGAACTACAGGACTGCAATAGTGTGCTGATGGTAAGAACCGTTAAGTGTTACTGGATTATTTGTACACCCAAAAAAAAAAGGTTCTTTGTCAATTGTAACTTGACTGTTTAACATGGACCTTTCCATTTCTATAGTTGGGGTTTTTTTTTTTTGAACCTTTTTTAAGAGTAGAAGTGACCTCTCATGGTAACAACTTCAATCTCTTACAGATGACTGAGGATGAACTTGTCTACACCTTTGCTCTTACCTACACTCCTGAGGCGTTTGCTGGAACTCCGATTACACGTGCCGATCATGCGGTTGTTAGCGTTCAATGCCACTATCAAAGGTAAGTGACCGGCAGTGGTGGAAGGAGTACTGAAAAAATATACTCAAGCAAAAGTACCATTACCTTCCAAAAAATTTAGTGTGAGTACTGTAAAAGTACTTGTCCAAAAAACTACTTGAGTAAGA